GATATTTTTGTGGTGTTGAGGTGCGAACCATTGGTGAAGGCATCCGTTTTCACTGACGTGGTAGAAGTAGTAGAAGTAGCTCTTCTTGTAAGGTGTGATGGGTTTAGTTTATCGTTGCTAATAGACGTGCCCATCGCATGGCCTTGCAGTGTGCGTTGAGCTGCTGTAGTTATAGCTCTTGTCGTATCCATTTCTGTAGTTGCAGCTCTTGTCATAGACATTCGACGTTCACATTCTGCAAGGTAGGTAGAGACGTTTGCTGACGAAAGCTGGCTCGTTTTGTCTAGGCTCTTGCAGTAGAGATCTTCACGTCTTCGACCGGAGACGAAGTAGCAGACTGAACATGACGAACAGCGGGTGTTGACCTGTCCCCTGTCCATGCAGGTTTCAACGGGCAGGCCGCCTGAGTAGAGGCAGTCACAAGGAGCTGGGTTCCATCTAAAGAATGCTGTGGTGACGTGTGGCCACCCTACATCGTACAAAGAACAGGACACGATCTTGTTGTTGGAAAGATATACCTGCCTCAGCTTTGGGAGATGGTCGATGACGGTGCTCAGCTGTACATACTGCAGCCGGTTACGACGGAGGTAGAGAACCCCCAGAGCAGGCAGATTACAGAGAGTTTCCCAGACTATAGTCTCGATTGAGTTGTCGCTGAGATCCAGGGAATACAGCTGGGGGAGGTACGGCAGTGAAGTCACGGTTCTGATGGCGTTGTCAAAAGGTCCGCCCGATCGGCGTTCGGCGGTATGTCGTGAGGGAACGTGGTGAGACCCTGGTACTTACAGTCTACGGTTGTGCTAAGGAAAGGCACCTTTCGCTTTCTGATTTTGCACCCGGCCGGCAGGCAGTGACTACCCCCTGGCCAAAGATATGTCAACGCAATAAGTAAAAGTAACGTACCTACTTTCATGTTTACGGAGCGTTCATACACATCCGCCACAGGCTGCCGTCGTGAGGGTATCAAGCAAGTTGGGGCACAACCAACCACTGTCATAGATCTAAGACTGCCTTTACGATAAAAGACTGCTGGACTCTGTGCAACAACTGTACAAAGACACCAAGAATACCGCCAGTGATCAAAGAAAGGCCGTGCAACAATGTGGCTAGACTCTGTGTGTCCTACATCTAGTGTGGAGATGAGTCTGTACCTCGTGATGATTATGGAAAAAATCGATATCGTCTTCTGTCCACAAGGTCTTCAGGGCCAGAATGCACGTCATCCAATCATGTACAAGCACCGAACCAATGACTCATTAACACTCACAAACTTTCTAATACGAGCTCAGAAAAGAACAGGAAATAATAATGACTTCAAACGATTGCAGGCCATCTTGTACTTCATCTGAAATCAGAGTATACAGAATACAGACCTGATTGTAAAAGTTTAGAGTTTATGGAATTTATTCATGCCATTTTTGGGCAAGGCTATACCTCTGCATACATGTATGATGATCTCACGTAGACGGATTGACATCATCCACTTCCACTTTTATACAGTTCTTATGAAAACTTAACTTTAAACATCTCAATCCTTGGCTGATAAATCTGGTATTCGGAGGCATGGCTTCTTCTCGAAGCCGATACTTGGTACATTGTACTCAGTAGTTAGTGCATTGACCCTTTTGCCTACATAAGAGGACAACTTTTGTCCAACACAAATTAAGATGTATATATAGACAGACTCCTCAGCTTATTCCATGTAATAATGCATGAAATCACCACACCAAGGAACCAGACAATACAAAATCCTCGAGCTAGCCTCGGTAAGATTGGTTTTGTTGATTTTAACAGAGAGAGGGTCATTTTCTTTTTAGTTGTGAGCTGTTTTTGCCTTGCTGCGAGGATTCCTTTTTTTTACACCATAGAACCTTTCTTCATTAAGAAGAATATCTTGGGCCCTTGTCGTTTCAAGAAGGATGTATTGTTAAAATTACCGAATTGTACTCATTTTATGGGTGACAATCAGACAAGAGCCACTGTCACAAGCCCCTGCCATACACTTTTTTTAGTTGTGAGCTGTTTTTGCTTTGCTGCGAGAATTTCCTTTTTTTACACCATAGAACCTTTCTTCATTAAGAAGAATATCTTGGGCCCTTGTCGTTTTAAGAAGGATATATTGTTCAAATTACCGAATTGTACTCATTTTATGGGTGACAATCAGACAAGAGCCACTGTCACAAGCCCCTGCGGTATACTCACGAATTCGGCCTCCGGAATACTACCCCCCCCCCAACCATGGTTAGGAGTCGGTCGGCGCAAAGTCGGCTTGGTCGACTACTCGTGTTCGACAAATTTGGCTATTAATCGGCTACACCACCAGCCCTCTATGGCTGGTTAATTCCCCTGGCCAGTTAAATCCTTTAAAAGGGTCTGGTGGAGACTACTCCGATCAATCAAGTAACAATCCAAGACAATCTGACACAGAACAAATTCAGACTCTCATTTGATTCTTTCCAATTTTATTTCAATTAATAATAAATGTACAAAGCACAAACAACAAGTAGAAAGGCCGACAATTGCCCGGGAGCAAATGCAGCAAATAGCCTCACCACGTACCAAAAAATGAACCTATCCCCCTTCCGCACAAATAAACTGTTGCTTAATCACCCCTGAACTACTAGAAACAGGGGTGCCAGAGTATACAGTGCAAATTTTAAGGATTACAGTTCAATCGAATTAGTGTACAGTGCAATTTTACGGAATACAGTGCAATTTTACTTATGACGTTGAATGACGTAACCTGGGCCCAGCTTTCCAGGGACGCCGCTGATGGAGCGTATTCACACCTTTCTGTGTTTTTCAAGTGAATTTGGACCGTTCTCGTACATAGACCTTTAGTCAAATCACTACATACTACACACAGGACATATTACTACACAGGGATCATTTCGAATTCGCTCGAAACAGACAGAAATATGTGAGTCAGCGGCGTCCGCCATCTTGAAACTCAAGGAAAGCAGGGTCCAAGTCACGTGATTCAACGTCATTAGTAAAATTGTACTGTATTCTAATACGATTGCACTGTAGTTCGGTAAAGTTGCACTGTATACTAGTAAAATTGTACTGTACACCGTAAAATTGCACTGTATTCGCCCCGTTCACAAATCCCACAATTCCTCGCGCGACGGACAACATCCGGTCTAGTTTCGAACTCTCAAGCTTGCATGGCGGCGGCTTTTGCCGTCAGAAAACAAAAACCCAAGGTTCAAGGTTCTAGGTGTTGCGTGCCGGGGTGTAAAAACCGACAAGGAACAGATACAGTAAAGAGGTCCTACTATAAGTTCCCTCAAGGAGAGGCAAATCGACATTTACGTCGACTGTGGGAGGCCAGCGTAAGGCGAGCGGACTGGGTCCCTAGCAACTACGACAGGATCTGCTCAGATCATTTTGTAGGAGGTGAGTTTAATAGTCAGTACGATAATTCGTATCTGTGTATTTTAACAACTACCCTGCCCCTCACAAATAACGTTTATCTTACGCCGCGTTATGTGATATGATTTGGCTATGACGCCCCCCTCCCCCCACCGTCGATCGCGTCGAGTGGTCTGTGGTAACGTTACATAAAATTGGTGGATGTGATTTCATTTCAAAAGAACTCAGACCATGGTAGAATTAAGCAATGCAAATTACGTTCGTAATGAAGTGAAAACTATGTTGTTCAGCGGAGACATACATGTATTATCATTCATTTTTTTTCAATACTGGTTACAAATGGAAATTATGATTACATAATGCTGACCTGTGTAAGTGTACATTTTGGAATTTGGTCAAATTTCAGAGATATTCCACAGAGTATACATGTACATTTTTGTAGTTATCTTTTGAGATAATAAAATTTTCTTTTTCCTGTTTTTTTGTAGGGAAACGCACCCATACGAAAGGGTCTGCAGGTTACATACCAAGTGTCTTCCCTTGGCGAAAAGTTTGTCAATCCAGAACTTCGAAAACAGCAATACAGGCTGGGACTGTGACACCAGTACCATGGCGCCGTCACGACACATGGTCCCCTAGCCCTGAACATGATCAAGAGACCCCAGGACCAAGCAATCGCCAAATTGCCTTCGCACAGCAGCGGGAAAGGAAGAAGCAAGAGGAAGCAAGAGAAAACTCTAGACACGTATGGAAGGAACATGAAATGTGTCATGGAGGTTATATTTTTAGTTGCGTTTATCTGTCCGTCCGTCCGTCCGTCCGTCCGTCTGTCTGTTGGTCAACAAGATAACTCAAGAACGCCTGGATGGATTGGTTTCATACTTAGTGTGTTGGTAGGGTGTGACAAAAACTGGAAATGATGAGATTTTGGTCCCCCTAGTGGCTTCCCTTGGTACTGCAGCGCAACTTCCGGTTTTGATATCTCGCGATCTGGACATGCTAGGGTCATGAAATTTTAATGAAAGGTAGCTCTCGTGCTTGGGAAGAAGTCATATGAGTCTGGGCCCCCTAGCGGCTTGTTCTGGAACTGCAGGGCACTTTCTGGCGAAATGTTTAAAAGCCAATAAGTCCAGACAGGAACAACATATTTTCATTATTTTTGGTGTGTAGGTAGCTGAGAGAGAGATGTACATAATTAAATGCAAATTATGCAAATGAGGACTTTATTTGCATAATTAATGAGGAAATTCTATAATTACAGTGTTTTACATTATACTATGTAACCTATGACAGGCGGAACTTCAACAGATACTAATTATGCAAATGATGACCTAATTTGCATAATTAATGTGAAAATTCTATGATTTCTTAATGGTGAATGATGAGAATGTCATACTTGGGACATCTGTAAGTTAATCAAAAGTTAACATACATCACGATGCATATATCATGTTAATGCAGAGGTCATTTGAACAATTAAAGAAGAAATTTACATTTACATATCAAGATCATATTTCATGGAGGTATGAGGTCTCGGAATTCTAGTTTATTGATGTGACTTATAGTAACACAAGAATATGATACTTGTGTATGCATTCTGTTACAACTGTTATTATTTTGATTGTGTGTTACATTTGTTCATTTCTAGTCTCTTAGTACTACTTAACATTGTTGATATATGAATAAAGTGACAAACATGCATTTACCACATTGTCTGTATCCACCTCCATATCTGAGTCTGTGTCGCTCTTGTCCACAATGTAGGTGGCGTTGGGGTGATTCTGTCGTCTGAACAGTTCAGGTACAAGATGACTCAGGAAGAAGTTGTCCAAATGTTGCTCTAGGTTAGCCCAGAAAATTGGGTCAAAGTCAACATGAATCACTTCGATGTCCTTCACAGTGTAGACCACAAATTCACACTTGGAAACATTTGTGATCGCCATACACCCTTGAACCTGCTCGAGGTAGCCATGGTTGCCTCCTTTCAGTGCCAATGTATTGCCTACTTCTTCTATATACTTGATCTTTGTGTTGCCCCTTATTGCTTCATGGGCTGCGCTGTATGGGCATTTGATCTCCAGGATTCTAGGTGGGCAACAGTCACACAACACTACTCCATCCGGACTAGCCCTCAGGTATGATTTGGTGTTGTGTACAATCAACCCTGTCTCCTTTATGACTAAGTTGGAATGTTTGGTCTTCTCCTTGTTGAAGTATGCATTTCTTCTTCTTCTTGCGTACTCTCTAACCACCCCTACTGGGGTATCACTGAGAGGGGGGGGGGTGCGACGGACTATGGCTGCGCGGCCAGGAGCCCGGCCTTGAAGGCCTCCACTGTCTGGGCTTTTACAAGCTGGCCCGGTAACTTGTTCCACTCATTTATCGTTCTTGGAAAAAAAGAAAATCTAAAACAGTCTGTTTTGGCAGGTATTGCTTGATACTTATATTCATGACTTCCTCTGGTACGCCTATGGGCAGGTTTGAGGCATTGTTCCATTTGAATATTAATATGTCCATGAGCAATTTTATATAAAGATATCAAGCGAGCGGTTCTCCTTCTGTCAACTTGGCAAGTGGCAATTTCTGGCAAGTGACTCGTTTGCTACTCCCCATTTGATACTCTTGGCATTTGGTAGTGGAGGAGGCTTTGTAAGGTTCTTGTACTTGTCCCCCATACAATCACTGACTAGTCTACTGGGTGATGCCTTGCCACCGGTCATTAACCTATCTATCCGATGGAACTTTGTCGTGGTTAAAGACCCTGACCGCATGGCGTACCACTTAGCATTCTGATTCTGGCCTCTTGTCATCATTTCCACATCTCTTCTTTCCTTCTGGTCTGTTTTGCAAGAGTTGACGAAATCACTTGTGGTCATGTTTTCGGAGATAGGCGCGTAAGCGAGGGGGGTAGGCTGGGAAACTGCTGTTTCAAAGTTTGCTGGAACCAGGAGGTGCGAATCTGGACCGACACGGGTTGGCAAAACTTTGACGGCTGGGGAGCGTAGCACAGAGGAACCAGATGTGAGAACGCTTGTAGCAACAACATGCTGTTTAATGTGCTGAGTGGCGTTGAACAGCTTCTGACACAGGACTGCTGCCCCTTCCACTCTGTCGCATTCGTCTACCCTCGCAACTTTTTCCCCGTATGTGTCAGATGTTCTCCGAACTTTCTGGGCTTTTTCTGAACTCAATCTCCGTGTACAGCTTCGGCTGAACAGCTGCAGCTGAAAAAGGAAAGACGTACTTGTTGGTCTTAGAACTTAACAGTTATAAACATAGATACATAAACTTGGTATCAAATTAGTCGTGGACATCCATCTATTTCTAAAAATAATAAACGTAACATGTCATTGCCATACGTACAATTACTAAATTACCTTTAGGGTCTGTCCACGCGCACAGCTTCTCGGTACATGTTGGGTCGTCCGGCAGCTGGGTATATCCCATGGAAACCAAGTCTGCCAGTTGGAACAATGTGGCCCCCACGTGAGCACAGGACTGATAGAGACTGAAAGTCATAAAGTTATATCAGTACATGTATAGAACGATATAGATAACTTTCCTGCAGAGAGATTAAAACAAATCTTAGTTGTAAAAATTGTCTTTCTTACCCGACTGCACAGGTGCAGTACGCCCCATACGGCTGACCGGTGATTTTATCCAAGATGATGTACAGTGCCTTAACTCTCTCGCTGGCTCCTGACTGTGAAGAGTTGCACTGTGCTTGGACGGCAATGAAAGTGTCGGAAGGGTTGACATTGATTTTGATTGAGTGAACAAAGTCCTTCATCTTGAACGGCCTCTGTACTTTGTATTTCACTTCTTGTTCCTTGTTGAAAACGTCTGCTATTAAGCAGATACTGTTTCACCATTGCATCATCAATGGGGGGGGGGACATGTTGAAGGTCTTTGCTCCATGCGTCCAACTTTGTTAAGTAGGCGGGGGTGAGGGTGGAGTATTCTCTTAACTGGTTACACGACAGGCCGTGGTTGTCCAGTCTAGGCACGAAATCGTATGGCTTGTTCTTCCCACTTGTTGAAATATCCAGTGCTAGACATAACAGATTCACCTTTGCAGATTTTGACAATTTTGTATTCACATTGTGTGCTCTGCATTCTTTGTTCAATCGTTGTATCGAAAGACCTGAAATGTCTGTGTACGTTTTCAACTTGTTTGTCGTTCTCTCCATTTTACCTGAAACAGCCAACAATCAAAGATTACTTGCTTGATTATAACCAAACCGTACACGTTAGGCCACAGCAAGTAAATCTTATGGTTGAAATCCTCCGCAGACTCCAAATCTAATGCGCGCGGGCGAAAGCAAAACAAGGCGGACCCCAAAAAACAAGATTCCTACATTTTAAAATTTTGACATCATAAACCTTGTCAATCACAAAAAAACTTGTGTTAGGTTTACCGCCAGCTATTGCAACATCCATTTCTCACTGAATTCGAAACAACTTTGAAAAGTGAAAGTTTTAAATCATTGTACAAATGGAACATCACATATACACATGCACCGTAACATATAAAAGGACTTATATCACTGCATCAAATTACATGTAATAGATAAACATTAAATTATCTATTGTACACGACGCATTAAAACGTCCCTCCTTTGACACCCTTTTTTCCACACCAAAAAGGCGCTCTTTTCTATGCATTCAGCCTCTATAATTAGACGTTAGAAATGTTTTAAAAGATTGAACTTACCTGCGAAGAAACATGATCCGCTGTCAGGTGAGAACACGGTAAATTTTTAAATCTGTAACGAATAGGATCTGGAACGGAATTTAGAGCAGAACCTAGAACATGTGTTCTATTGTTCTGATTATCGCTCTTTGGCGTCTTGTACATATCTATCTTAATAGTCTATAAACATGATATAGAGACACAAAATATCTTTTATGGTAATGGTTGCCAAGGGAAAAATGGTTGCCTAGCTACGGTTACTATGTAAATGAACGTTTATAGTATAACTATATACATACAAAAAGTATACAATGTCATGTTGATGATGAAGATAAGTTTCGGACCTCCACACCAATTTTCATGTCATTTGAAATCGGAATTAAGACGTCTTACCCAGAAACTACTTTTATGATAATAGCTATTAAATGTTACCAAGAACAGCATAAAACGAAACAAAAAAGATAACTCTGAATTTCAGAAAGTTTTATTTGAGGCAGGCATAATTCCACGATCTAAACCACGTCTTCTTCACGGCGCTTGGTGTGATTGTGTGAGCGGTTACAGGCGGCCTTTACCCATTTGGTGGCGAGACCGCCCCATTCAATTGTGACGGGGTTGGCGGGCGCCAAACCGGATGTTGTCCGTCGCGCAAGGAATTGTGGGTATGTGAATGGGGCGAATACTAGTAATATTGCACTGTATTCCGTAAAATTGCACTGTATACTATGGCACCCCTCAGAAATGTTTAACTAGATGAGGGGAAAAGAAGACTGGTAGGATGGAACATGCTATGGTGAAAATGATAGGGTTCTGTTTTCAACACGTAAAACACAATTCAAAACATGTTCTCCAAGGGACATGATTAAAATGTTGCAGAATTATGCAAACAAGACGACATCATACAGTTGCATGGGTATATGGCAACTTGATAATAGAAGGCGTTTCATGGTTAATACTAGTTCCAGCCACAGAGTAGCGTTAGTGTTCCATGGGGAAAACTGGCACTAGAAAGAAAGCATCAAGGGCGTCGTTTTGGGGGCTTCGGGTTGAACTAGTAACGTAACATTTTAACAGTTATATAATTTTGTGTATAGTATACATTACTTATTAAGTTACCTGTATGCTGGTATTCTTTTTTAAGCTTAAAGCAATATATTTTATACTGAGTTTTTTAAATTTTTTTTTTCAAATTTTCAAACATAAGCATGCCAACTTCATTTACGTCTCCGTTAAATAAATGTATGCAATAAAGCGGAATGTTTCAACAAAGGTAAACACATGTTTGTATTTTGGATTGATGTCCAACTTCTAAGCGGTATTATGTGCTCCCGAATGTTTTTCTGATGTTGTCTAGTGAAAGAGCAACATTCTTTAGATCTAAAGCTTAGCTTTAGTCCTGACTGTAAAGCTGGTGTACGACACCCATGGGTGTTTAAAATTGCTAGAACAATAAAAACTGAAACAGACATCGAATGATGTAGGAGGTTTTTTTATTATTTTTCTATGTTTTCAAACACGCCTGTGAAAACATATAGAAACTAGAGAGGCCGACATTTGCTTGGGAGCAAATACAGCATATTTCAGTCCATCTCCCTCCCACGCAAAAGTGGACTATTCCAAAGTTACCCCAGTGTAAAACTGGCAAAGATTCTCAAATAGATAAATTATATAGTAGCTATGTAATTGAGAACAAAGATGCAAGAACAAGCACATTGAATCTCGAAATCTTTACTAATCTTCTTACAGGTATGCAAATACTAACAATAATGAGATTTGATACATTTTGAAGGTCTAAGGCACATAAAATTGAATGTGTGGGTCATTACGCACGACTTTCGTGCAATGTGACCCCAGGTAACCCGCAATGGAACACGTGTTCCATGGTCAACAGCAGATGGAACGTGACATTCTTTACTAATAGATGGAACATGGAACGGGTATAGCACTTTTGGCCCTTTTTTGCTGAAAATAGCCATTAAAGTCCCCCAAATGAGTCATTTGGAAGTGGTGTATGCCAAATATGTGACTGCTGTTCTGTAGACACATGTTCAAGGTACCCTTATACCAAATTTCAGATCATTTGGTTGTAAAACCAGGGCTCAGGAGCCAAAATTCCATTTTTTGGCGAAAAATGCCCCAAAAAAACCTTCATAGAATTTTTTCAAAGGCATGTATCAAAAAAATGAAAAAAAAAGCCTGGGGGTATTGGCTCACTCTACCTCCATGCCAAATTTCAAGTCATTTGGCTGAATGATGGCGGAGTTGAATCCCTCTGACTGTGTGGCAGGAGAAGAAGAAGAAGAAGGAGAAGAAACATCAGAGATCACAATATATTTCATCCATACCATGGTATGGACTGAAATATAAATATATGTTAGAAAATATAAAGGCTGCAAATTTTAAAAATACACTTTGACTAATAGTATATCAAGTTTTGCCTATCTCAAATACTCTCAAATTCTCTTATTACTTTCTGCAGCATGATAGATGGAGACGAATACATTTTCCTAAAGAAAGAAAGAAACAGCTCATAATTCCATGCAAGTAAATTAGTTCGATGTTTTGCGACGTAAAAAAAATCATGATACTAACATCCCACAGTTAAGAGTCGTAACCCACTCTTGTGTTTGCGTCCAGCACGCTGTTTTCTTCTTAGTACAGACACAGCTTATAGAGCAGTCCGCGCAGCGTCGTCTTTGAGGGTCTTGTTGGCCTTTGTCAAATTAAATTAGTCTGCAATCTCAAAAAAAAATACCGAGAAAAGAACACCGAACGGCGCTTGCCCGGCAAAATATGTAGTACATATTCATTAAAACGTCGTCAGACAATAACATGATTTTGTAATATTTAAATATTTAGAGAGATTTTGCTTTTTTAGCATGTGCAAGCGCCGAATGTTTGTACAGTAAAGATGTACGAGCAAGCAGAGCCTGTCAGGACTCCGCAAGCGGGGTCCGGCAGGGGACGGAATGTCAGGCCGCGTGAACCCTACCCAGATCCCCCCGACCGCCGAGGTAACACTAGCGGGCATGTCGGCCGTGGCAAACAGTCATGTCCCAAGTATCAAGAAGAGGAGGACACGTCTTCGAACGTGTACGAAAAAGCTGAGACGGTGAAACTGGAGAATATCCCGAGAGACGCGCCTTATGGAACGGACACGTCTACAGGTAGAGTGCGCTTTTCCTGAAATTTTCTTATTAGGTGTTTCTATAGAATTAGATGAGTTAGAAAATTAAGAAAAGGAAGAACATAATACATAAAATTATGTCTAACATAGAACTATTTACGTCAATATCTTTCTCTCTATATATGATGAAGATATTTATTTGGAATTTAGCAGCTTGAAATCTGCTTTAGGTATAACTTTGAGATAAAGGGCTGACTTAGGCTTTAAACAAGCAGCTTTTATTTTGTATATTAATTGAGATAAATATGGTTTTACCCCCAAATGCCAGGTGTTCTTTATATTTTTTCCTCGTGTGCATTAAAGCCACATTATGTAACATGCTAAAAGTAAATTTTCTGGTAATTTTTTTCAAGGTACATGTAAGTTAAATCAACCTGGCTCCATTATAAAAAAAAAATGACATTCCGGAAGTAGAGGTGACAAAATAGGACTTCTTACGGGAGTATTTGAAGCTGTCTGCATTGTTAACAATGAAGAAGTAATTAAAAGATAATAAAAAGATATTGCCCGTATGATAAATTTGCGGTATCAAACATCTGTTTATTAGACGCGGACCCCAGTCCACCGGTCGGTGCACGTGTAAAAGGCCGTCGTGTCTGCTACATCGCCGCCGCCCTGGCTGTTGTTGCAACTCTGGCCATTGTTGGAATTACTGTACTGATTTTTAACAACGAGACATACAATCAACAAGAGGTGATTAACTTTTTTTTCTTTGAATTATTTGCTTACGGGCAGGGACCAGAATAAAAACATACCATTGAAACCTATGCTAAAACCACTAGAAACAAGCACTTTAAAACACGTTTACCTTTATCTTAAACCTCAAGTCTTTACCATCACTGCAAAGCTGGATTTGTCTGGTGTCTTTTGGTACAAATAGTTGAAGTTCAACTCTGGGGTTTTAATGAGCTACAGCCAAAATATTGAAATAATG